AACTGTTCGCAGTTAACACTTAAATCAATCATAACTACTTAGATTTAAATCTGATAAAAAGATGCTAAATTTTTTATGATTATTATTATTATTCTATTTGTTGGCTAGGTGTCAACATTATATAAGCAATTGTAACGACTCTGTTGCTTAGAAAATATGCGCAATTCATTATAAATGACTAATTTAATAATACCTGTTGTCTAAATGGTAAAATGTTTTTCTTATACAGGTAGCCCTCGGTTTACGCCGCAGTTCCGTTCCTACAAAAGCCGGCGCAAATCGAATCGGCGTAAAACGAACCCGTATTTACAGTGAGGTATAGGGTTAAGTTCTACATAAGTGAAAAATAAGCTAATAATTTTATTAATACAATATAATACAAAACACACACAAATTTAATTTTTAAAATGTATTTTAACATAAAATAAAGTAAAATGTTTTTATTTAAAAATTTTAGTTTCGAATTTCTTACATTTTTCGGAAAAAGTATCCATCTTTAATTGTTTACATTTTTGATTTTTTTCATTAAGAATTTTGGAATATGGTCGAATATGATGCTCCTTTTTACATTTGCACTTCGCTCCCAACATTGTCTAACTCACAAACGTCATCCGTCAAACTTTCCTTAGTTGAAAGGATACGTTAACCCAACGTAGAGCGACAGACGAGCGAAGACACTGATTGGTCGACCACCAGTCGCCGTAGCGCATATATAAGGTCAGTTTGAGCGGGAAAATTCAAGGTGGCCAAGGAGAGATAGATATCGTCTGGCCAACGAGAAGTAATTTGTCTCACGATGATTTGTGATCGCCGGAAGTGCTATTGCGTCGTAAGGTGTTTTCCTGAATGAACTGATACGGGATACATTCATTGGCGCTAGGGTTTCTCAAACGGGATTCCGGTTGTTTTTTTAACCCGGGAAATCCCGCAAATTTCTTAAAAATTCACTTTTTTCTTATTTTGTGTTAAGGTTGAGGAATTTTGCAAATAGAAAGCATAATTAACTCATTCACTGTCAAAATACACTTGTATTTATTAATTTTAAACCTACCTATTAGTTTTTTTTTTAATTTTTGCTCGTTATAGCATGTCACAAATGGTCAATAATCAATATATAGCTTATTTGTGGCAGGACTATAAAAATTCTTTACTTGTCGGAACCTGTAATATCTGGAATAATTGTGCTTACGCTGTC